TTCATTCATTCACTCATTCATTATTTATTTATTTATTTATATCCCGCCTATCTGGTCAGTTACGACCACTCTAGGCGGCTTAGAACATCAACATACTCTGGTTTCTCTTCAGATCATATAAATCTTTCGCCTTTTAAGAACATAAATGTATGTAAAGTAGACTATTAAATAAATAAATAAAGCAGCATTACTGTATTTGCAAATCCAACCTAAGTGCAATGTCTAATTTGACCCTAATATGTGGCTCCATAAAGGTGCAAAGGCAACTGCAGATTTAAATGTGTTGTAGGCAGAACAATGTTTTTGGATTAACTTTCCAACAAGAATGAGTTCTGAGTGCTCAGAAGAGATGCACTCAACTCTTCATCCCTGGTTCCACTGGCACTCGGATAGAAAGGTTTTGGTTTTTCTGAAGACTAGAAACCTGGCACCCTTGACCATTGCTTTGTACTGTGTTGGATCCGTGACCAATCTAGCCCAGTCTAGTCAACACTGACTGGCAGCAACCCCAGGCTTTCAGGTAGAATTCTTTCCTAATTCTACTAAGAGATGCTACAGACCGATCTTGAGATTGTGCTTTACCACTGAGATAGCCAACCTCCCCAGTACAGCAACCAGTACATTTTTCATGCATGTACTCCTAGCTTGATCCTGTTTTGTCCTCAAAATCCATTGATGGGAGTCTGAGAAGGACAGCAGGACAACCTTCTCAGGCTCTGCAATGTGACTTCTGAGACACCCGCTCACAAAGGGCACCAGCAGAGTAGCATCTTCCCTGGTTTGTTCTAGGGAAGGCTCCCACATTCAGCCTTCCTCCTCCTCCTCCTCCATAGACCCTTTTCCTGATCAGAAGAGATCTGACAACTGGTTTGCTAGATGGGGCAAAGATTAAATAAAGACACTGCAAGTAGGGAAAGAGTTAGGAATTCAGCTGTTTCCAAGTAGCAGTCAAGTTAGTCTGTCTCGGCATGTTGGCAAAAAAAGAAGAAGAAAGGAAAAATAATGTAGCAAAGATGCACTTGAACAATGAAAACCATTTCAAGTGCCAGAAGCTGTACAGAAGAATCGCTTCCAATGACCTACAGGCTTCCTGCATTACATGTCTACTTTGCGTCATACAGGCTTCGGAAACCATGCAAAACTTAACACACTGGATCATCCAGGGCAAAAATATGATGAGGGCATGTGCCTCAAGCAGCAACCCCCTTGCAAACAAACACAGGGGAGGGGGGCTATTATATTGAGTTCCAGAACAACAAGAGAAGGGAAAGTGGTTCAGGTTTCTGCTGAAACAGGCCCTAGACTTTTGCATCTTTTTCATCTTTGTGTCTATCGAGGTCAAAGATAAAAAGACTGTGCTTATTCTACTTTAATGGATTCATCGGGGAGCATCACAAGATCCTTATAAGGCAGCTTCAGTCCTGTTCTCAAACTTGCTTAAAGGAGAACTGCTGTGGAGATCCCCACCTCTTAGGAGCCTCTCTGCTCATGCCAACTTGTCAGCAACGTTTGACTGCAGTCTGGGCCAACTTCTGAACAGGAGTGGGTGGATTAAGCCCAATTAAAACCAAAGAGCTACCCCCTGCTTGCAGCAGTTCTGAACTTGGCATAAGGACTGTTGTCATAATGATAACGTTGCACTGGAAGTAACAGTGGTAAAAAGCAGTAAGACAAGAAAAGAGAGGCAGTAAATACTTTCACTTCCTGCAGGAAAGAGAAATAAAGTACCCATTTAAGAGCTCCAGTACAAGTTCATAATGTTCGTCGATGTACCAGCACCTCCTGCCAGTAACAAAAAAATGCTGAAATGTATTGTGGGAGATAACATTCCTGAATACTGAAGGTGAGTTTGAGTTCAGATGCAGCCACAGACTGTGTAATTCTGTACTGCAAGATTCTACATTTTATTTATTTTATTTGTTATATTTTATTAGATTTCTTCCCCGCCCATCTAGACGATTTTCACTAAACCACCACCCTAAATCATACATATTCCATGTGAGTTGGATAAAGGACCACGCTGAGGACATTCCTGTAGAGCGGACATGGTAAGAAGTGGAAGGAATGGGTGGAAGAAGCCTGAAAAGTGATGTCAGTGCCTGTTTAAAGAAAAGGATGAACAGGGGCCATGTTCCTAGCACCGCAGGTGTTCTTGGACTACAATTCCCAGAAGCCCTAGCCGACAAAACCAATGGTCAGGGATTCTAGAAGTTAAAGTCCAAGAACATCTAGCGTTCCAAGCTTGGGAACCACTGAATTTTACTATGACTACCTAAGTAGACAAATGCAAGCCTCCATCCAGAATGCTTAGAAACATAAACTCTACCACCTACCTCTAACCTTTACTCAATAGATTTATTTAATACATGATACCGTGTTTCCCCGAAAATAAGACAGGGTCTTATATTAATTTTTGCTCCAAAAAACGCACTAGGGCTTATTTTCAGGGGATTTTTTTTCATGTACAACAATCTACATTTATTCAAATATAGTCATGTCATCTTCTTCTGGTGGAGGTCGGGGTTTCACTTCACTAGTGCTTATTTTTAGGGTACAGCTTAGATGACGAGCATCCTGCAAAATCCTACTAGGGCTTATTTTCAGGTTAGGTCTCATTTTTGGGGAAACAGGGCGTTTCTTTCCTCCAAAAAGCTCAAGGCAGCATACATGACATTCTTCCATTCTACTTGTTCCTCACAACAACACCCCTGTGAGGAAGGTCAGACTAGAGATGGGAAGGCCTGAAATAACAACCAAAAAATTGGGGGGAAAAACAGTTTTTTTCCCTGTTTTTTTCCCCCAAAGCCGTTTTATATGGCTTCAAAATTTCCAGAGGTTTTACATCTCTACATCAGACAGAGTGCAAGCGACGGCCCCAGAATCACTCAAGAAAGTTTCAAGGCTCCGTGAGGATATAAAACTAGATTTCTCACTTCCCAGGTCAACCCTCTTAAGTTCCTTGGCACACTGGTTCTCCACCCCAAAATTTGCCATAAACTTACTTTGGGCTGAGTTTGAGGCAACCTAGGGTGCTCTCAGTTCCTGAAAAGCATTCACTCTGCTGGAGGCTTAGGTGGAATGAAATATTCCCACATCCTCAGTGGAAAAAAAGCATTGTGGGTGCCACCAGAAGTGCAGAGAAGATCTCCAGGACCAAGCACCCTGCTTTGTATAAAGTGCACCAGGCAAGGACCACGAGTGTCCACAGCCAACCTCCCACTTCCTTTTGTTCCAGGAAAGGTATGTGGGGAAGTTTGGGGTAGGAGAAGAGGGAAGCAGTGAAGTATAAAGTTTTCCAAGCATTCACCAGGAATCATCTTACAGCGGAAAGGGCCTCTGTAAGCATAGGTGTAAAGATTCCTTTTGGGAGCAGGCAAAGGGGTGCTTACAGATCCCTAAAACTAGGCAGATCCAAAAAGTCTCTGCACTTGCCAAGCATGGGAGCAAAGCTAGTTTTTTTTTAAAGGAGATAATGAATATTTGCATTAATTTCATGCTTGATAAGAAAACGTATCTTCATGCATGTAGCAAAACTACTGAGAATACTGCCAAGTGCTGCAGGATTTCTTCCACCCCTGCATGAAAGTGGAAAGATGAATGCTTTATTTTAGGGGTCTCCAAACTTTTCAGCAGGAGGGCCACATAATATATTTTATGCATTTTGGTGGGCCGAAGGAACACATACATGCACACACACACATGCACAGGCTGAAGGGAATGGACCTGAGCCTACAACGTTCGCTAGGCCAGATAAAAAGGCAAGGCTGGCTCGCTGTGGCCCAAGGGCTGTAGTTTGGAGATGAGGGCCACATAATATATTTTACACATTTTGGTGGGCCGAAGGAGCACATACATGCACACACACATGCACGGGCTGAAGGGAACGGACTTGAGCCTGCAACGTTCGCTAGGCCAGATAAAAAGGCACGCCTGGCTGGATGTGGCCCACGGACTGTAGTTTAGAGACCCCTGCTTTATTTGATAACTGCAGCATTAGGAATTATGTGTGTGCATGTGTGAACAGGATACACTTTTTATGCAAAATACCATTTTATGCAAAGTTTCATGATTTGTTTGTGGAACAGATCCCAAAATGCAAATTAGTGCCTGAAAAACAAATTCCCATAATCTAAACCAGTGGAGAAAGGTTTTGGAAATTGTTCATCCACATCTGTGACAATGAAATGAAGATTCCCATCCCTATAACTTGTAGGTTTGACTTCTATCTTGCTTGTCCACATCAACATCTGCTCAAAGCAATTACTTGATGCTCCATAAGGCCCATTCTTTCTGGGACATGGCAACTGCAAAGTTCCTAAATGGGTTGGTCAGGATAATTACCAGCCTCCGATTACGAAATTGTACTTCAAGCCCAGTAACTCTGTATGCACATAAGAATGCAGCAGTTGGCAAGCGGGGGAGGACTTAGAGAAGACTAGGACAACAAGTTAGAAACCGTAAAACAGATAACTGCATATGAACATGCCTTTCACAGAACCAGACTACTAGTCTTTCTAGCCCAATATTACAAACACTGACTGGCAGCAGCACGCTTCAAGTTTCAGAAAGGTTTCTTTTCCAAACCTTACATGAAGATGCTGAAGACTAATGTTTGCACTTTCAACATGCAAATCCTGTGTCCCACTACTGATTTAAGCCACTCCAGTTTTTAAGTGCTAGACAGAAAAGAACACAGTAAACACATTTTTCCACAAGTAGAACAGTGTGAACGTTGCTGAATTCAACAGTCCGTCTTTTCTCATGATGCAGAATCAGCCATAAAGTCTTCCAAAACCCTGATCACTGTTTGCCAGATGAGATTCTGCTTATTTTTCTAACAGTCTGTGTTTACATCAGTCTTGGTATTAATGCCTGAGTCCCCTGATCACTGTTTGCCAGATGAGATTCTACTTATTTTTCTAACAGTCTTGGTATTAACGCCTGAATCTGTGTACACACACACACACACACACACACACACACACAAATCTTCTACTCACCTGGCCATTTGTTTATAGGCTTCTTCAGCAACTGCAAAGATATGAGGATCCATGTCCCCCATGTTTTGGCCACTGTATGCATAGATAACATCTTGTCCATAGATTGGCAACTGCTCATAAGGGTTAATGGCAACTAGAACGATACCTTAAAAACACATAAAGATGCAAATGGTTATTATTACACATAAGGAACAGAATTTATGTACACCTAAAAATAAGAAGCACTGATCTATGGTGTTTCAACTCATGAATCACTTTTCAACAAATTCTATCCTCTGGTCCTCAGATTCAGAGGCATAGTTTTAGCTTAGCTATTCTTTATTACTTGCCTTATGGCCATCACATTAGAAGATGCTTAAAAGACTCCCAAACTAAAACTCAGCTGCCACAAATACCATCTATAACAATTATCCAACAAAAGCAGGTCTCCATACTTTCTACTACAGCCACCTGAACTTCTGAAAAAGCAAGACGCTTTTCAGTTTAAATTCTCAGCCTACAGACAATACATATGTATTTTTAAGGCATCTTTCTCAAGCCATTTTCTATTATTTGCAGCCTGCCAAGGGCCACTGGTCATTCAGAGTTCAAAATATAAGCACCAACAGTATGTAAATGCATTTTAAAGTTTAAAGCCCCGGATCCCAACCTTGGGTCCCCAGATATTCTTGGGCTACAAACTCCCAGAAATCCTCGCCAGCACAGCTAGTGGGGAAGGCTTCTGGGAGTTGTAGTCAAAGAACATCTGTGGCCCCAAGGTTGGGAACCACTAGTTTAAAAGGTTCTAAAAATTATTCTTACAGATATGCAAAGGAGTGTTTCCTTCCTAGAAAGAACAGGTTTCTAAAGCAGAAACCCATAGGTGCTTACAAAACAAAATAGTGTTTAAAAAAACACATGTAGAATTCAGAGAGATTCTTTTGCTGCAGTAACTCTATTTATATCCATAAACATAAAGGGAGAAGAGATGAAAATGCCTGCCAGGAAGGTGAATCGCAGGTTTATTAGAAATACAGTGGTGCTCTGCATAGCGAGGTTAATCCATTCCGGATTAACCTTCGCTATGGGAAAACATCGTTAAGTGGAACGGGGAAACCCACTGGAACCAAATGGGCCCAAAACTCACCGTTCTCCGATGTTTTCCCATGTTCCGGCGGCCATTTTTGGTGTCCCGGCGGCCATTTTTGGTGTTCCGGCAGCCATTTTGTGTGTCCCGCAGCCATTTTGGGTGTTCCAGTGGCCATTTTGGGTGTCCCAGTGGCCATTTTGGGTGTCCCAGCGGCCATTTTTGGTGTCGTGGTGGCCATTTTGGGTGTCCGGCGGCCATTCTGGAACCGCCGAACAGCTATTCGCCCATTGTAATGCAAACATGCCCTCGCATTCGCGATGGGGAAATCTGCATCGCAATGTGGATTCATCGTTCAACGGTGCGCTCGTTATGCGAGGCACCACTGTACTGAATACAGCCATGCCTACTTTATTTACAAGTAGGAGGAGAAGTATAAAGGAATGAGTTGTAGAAAGCAACACTTTGCTCAGGCAAACTGTGCTTTAATGAGTCAGAATTCCTATCTTATGAGTAAATACAGCTACCTTATCTTCTCTCTTGAGGGTGGCAGCATTAGGTTTTTTCCACTGAAACTCAAAAGCCTGACATTCTGAGAGTTGTATTCCAAAGGTAGAATTATGAACTTACTGCCTCTTTCACTTTTGACACCCCTGCCTTTCTCCTCGGCCTCCAAACTCACATATACCGTAAAAGCACAGGACATTGCAAAACTCACCACAATACGTGTAAATGTGATTTGATTCCAGGAATCGGACTTTTAAGTTGTGCAAGACGGCGGGTTCGTGCAGATAACTTAAAGCGGTCAGATCATTTTCCCCCACTAAAATATCCGGATTGCGCAAGAAGGGAAGCTTGTTGGCTTTAGGATCGATGGGATATTCCTGGATCTGGAATAATAAATAAGGATGATTAGGAAGAAAACAGCGGCATGAAGAACTACAATTGCTTCTTTGTTTCCGCAACTCAAGAAATCTGTGGTTTTTTAGGACAGAAAAAGACAAGGAGAGCAAATGAGAGGGTGAATGGATGCATAAACTAACAAAAAGGTTGTCCTAGGAACTGGCAGCAAGAGAATTCCGCTACATCAAAAGACTGCTTATAGATTTGTCACACACACACCCTAAGGAGGAATCTGACCCAACCACCATTCCATTAAGTCACGAGCACATGATTAAAACATATTTTTCAAAGAGAAACAGTTCTTGTGAACTGGAGGACTACCAACATATGTTACAGCAGACACCTTCTGGTCTACCTTCTTTTGAAAGACAGCATGAGCCTGCTGATGGCAAGTGGCAAGAGTCTTCAAAGGGTCCAAAATGCAGCAGCCAACTAGCTCACAGGGGCTGGTTACACGGATCATATAACCCACCAAGCCCCATTATAGCAGCTCCATTGGCTACTGATCAGCTTCCAATACAATTCAAAGTGCTGGTTTCAACCTATAAAGCCCTAAATAGCCTGGGTCCAAGCTATCTCAAAGACCGTATCTCCCATTATGAACTGGCTTGGGTGTTGAGATCATCAGCAGAGGCCTTTTTCTCAGACCCACCCCCTTCACAGGTGCATTTGGTGGGGACATGGGAGAGGGCCTTCTCTGTGACTGCTCCCAGACTCTGGAACCCCTCCCACCCTCCGGAGGCCAGGCAGGTCCCATCTTTGCTATCCTTCCACAAGCAGGCAAAGACCTTTCTCTTCCGGCAAGCTTTCTCTCTGTGACTGGCTACATAAGTGACTTTCAGATAAATTGTTATGTATTACTGCTCCGACTGGGTCTTGAGTAATACTTCTGCTTACCATCTCTCAGAGTGATATTTGTTCATTTTTAATGTTTGCATACTTATTGTTTTAGCTTTAATGTTGTTTTTTAATGATGTAAGCTGTCTCTTTACACTCATTGTTCTTAGCTTTAAATATTGTCTTTTAATTATGCAAGCCACCATTGTAAACTCATTGTTTTCGTCTTCAAATATTGTCTTTCCATGACGTAAGGTGCCTCGGGTCCTTTCTAAAGGGAAAAACAGGGTACAAATCTTATAAGTGAGTGAGTGAGTAAATAAATGACATTTGAATTGCAGAGCTAGAAGGGTCCCTATGGATTATCAAGTCCAGCCCCTCTCAAGGAGGCACAGTGTGGAATTGAACTCCCAACCTCTGGCTCCACAGCCAGAGACCTAAGCCACTGAGCTGTCCAGCAACTGGTACAACAGCCAAAGCTCAATAAAGTCACTCCTGCCAACAGTGGCCAACTTAAGGAGCAAAACCAGGCCTCAAAGCTTCCTTAAACTGTGAGCTTGATTCTTCAGAGGTTGCGTAATCTTGTCCAGAATAGAGATGGGGGGCGTTCGTATTTGTATACGAATATCCCCCCACAGGTGGAAATTACTAGGGCCTAGCACCATGGGGCCGTACTGTCCACTCACCATTCTGCCATTCACGTGCGCTCGACAGAGCCTTCCTATCATGCCGTTCTTCGTAATGGATTAGCCACTCTGCAACCTGGGAGAGACACCTGTCATCCCGCCTCCTGCCAGGAGTGGCCAATCCATTGTGGACAACAGCGCGATAGGAAGGCTCCGTCGAGCTAGCATCGGCAGCGAAATGGTGAGTGGACAGTCCAGCCCCCATGGGGCCAGACCCTCATTATTTCCACCTGTGGGGGGATACTCGCATTCGCATATGAATACAAATACCCCCATCTCTAGTTCAGAACAGACTTCACCCTCAATGCAGTTTATCTGATCCAGGCTGAGCCTCATTTCAATGTTCTTATATTTACTAAGGATTTCTTTTCAGTTGATCAAGAGGTTTTCATGGCTGACATAGTCTTGATGCCTTTGTTATTTATAACAATAAAATAAAGCCATCCTTAAAACTATTAATCTATATATTCTCTTAACGTACATTTTATTTCTCTTAAGAGACGCCATCCAAATTTTATAAGCTGAAAATGAAACTGGAGAAAGGAAGGAAGCCAAGTTTAATGGTGCAGTTTGAAGGGTTGATGAGGTACAGCAGGGGCTTTACATGAAAAGTTATAAGGAGAAGAGGGACATGGATGCAAATTATGAAAGAAAATCTGAACGAGTTGGGTATCTCTGATTTAGGGGAAAAAAACAACCCAGGATGAAAAGAAGAGAGTGTGATACAAGATACAGTGGTGCCCCGCATAGCAAGGTTAATCCATTCCGCTATGGGGAAACATCGCTATACGGAACGGGGAAACCCATTGTGCCCAGTTCCAAATGGGCACAAAACTCACCATTCTGCGATGTTTCCCCATAGCAGCAGCCATTTTCGCGCCCTCGGTAAGCGAGGGCAGGGTGCGAAAACGCACCCGGCCATTTTGGGTCATCCGGCGGCCATTTTGGAACCGCCGAACAGCTGATTCCCCGACATTGCAATGCGAAGATCGGTAAGCGAAATGCTTACCGATCTTCGCAATGCGAGTTTTGCCCATTGGAACCGTCGGTATGCCTTCGCATTAGCGATCCAAAAAAACAGATCGCTATGTGAATTCGTTGTAATACGGTGCGCTCGTTAAGCAAGGCACCACTGTACGTTTATGAATGTACAAGAAACATACAAGGAAGAAGTAAACATATTATCTCCCATCCAACACAATGTCCCAGAGTGACTTATCTGTTGTTCACAGTCTTGCTCAGACGGAGTAAAAATGGTTATTTATCTAGTAAACAAGCAACCATAAGTAGAAAAACATTTTTAAAGATGGGCGCTACACTTTTAAACTCATGCACAATGCCAACTGTCTGAAACTCATTACACATGGTCCTCAGCATTTGGAATTTTTCTATATAAAAGTCATTCAGTCCCACTAGTAATCAATAGTTCCCAACCTTGAGTCCCCCATATGTTCTTGGACTAAAACTCCCAGAAGCCTTCACCACTAGCTGGCCAGGATTTCTGGGAGCTGCAGTCCAAAAACATCTCGGAAGCACTGAGATTAGTTGCTAGCCTGCTTACAAAATAATTAACTGCTGCTGCTTTTTACAACATACCGAAGACAATCTGTTGTGCTGCTAGTTACTCTTCTTTAATATTTGAATGGCA